CCCCCCCCCCAGCACCGCACCACACCACACGGCAGAGCCTCCACAGCCGCCTTCCAGCCCCGGTTTATTGGGGAGCAGCAGGGGGGGGACGCCCGCGCAGACACTGCCCCCCCCAGGTCTGCCCCACGCTCAGGACCGGTCCTTGGTCTGCTGGTGGATGAGCTCGGCATAAAGACCCCCCCGTCGCACCAGCTCCTCATGGGTCCCTGCCTGCAGGGATGGCGGAGACGGTGTCACCCATGGGGCTGCCCACCCCCTGCCCGACCCTGCCCACCCACCCCTGGCACTGGGCACTGCTCACCTCGGCCACCCGGCCCTGCGCCAGCACCACGATGAGGTCGGCACCCTGGATGGTGCTGAGGCGGTGGGCGATGAGCAGCACCGTGCGGCCCGAGACGGCGCGGTCCAGAGCCTCCTGCACCACCTTCTCTGACTGGGCGTCCAGCGCGCTCGTGGCCTCGTCCAGGATCAGGACGGTGGGGTCCTTCAGCAGCGCCCGGGCGATGGCAATGCGCTGCTTCTGACCCCCCGAGAGCGCCATGCCGCGCTCGCCTGACGGGGACAACCGCGGGGATGCCGGTGTCACCCCAGCCCAGGGAGAGACCCCCGCCCCGAGGATGAGAGTGGAGGGGTGCAGGGGTGTTCCCACACCACCTCCTGTGCCAGAGCCAGGGAACCCCCCAGGAACACCAGGATCCTCCTTCCTGCGGGGAGCCCGGCACAGCCTCATGCTGGCAGTGACTGGCAGCCAGTGTCCCCGAGGGGACTTGGGCTGCATTGGCCAGGGTCTCATGCTCGTCCATCTGTCCCGAGGGGTGGCTGGGCTGGCTCGGGGGTGCCTGCTTGCCTGCCTCCCACCCCTGCCATACCCCACTCCGTGGCACAGAGCCCGGCACATACCCACGATGGTGTTGTAGCCCTCAGGGAAGCTGCGGATGAAGCCATCGGCGTTGGCAAGCTGGGCCGCGGCGTACACCTCCGTGTCGGAGGCTCCCGGCTTCCCGAAGCGGATGTTCTCCATGATGGTTGTTCCAAAGAGCACCGGCTCCTGGGGCAGTGTCCGGCCTGTCAGCACCAAGCCCCAGACGGGTTCCCTGTCCGGCACCTGGGGGAAGCACCCCATGGCAGCCCCACGCCCCACGGCAGCCCCAAACCTGGCTGATGAAGCCGATGACCTGCCCTCGCAGCCAGGAGGGGTCCAGGGAGGAGATGTTGTGGCCGTCCAGGGTGATGGTGCCCTGCGTGGGCTCATAGAACCGCTCCAGCAGCGCTGCCACCGTCGACTTGCCTGCGAAGCGGAGCCCTCAGCCCCACGGCACTGCCCGGCTGCCCACCCCCATGCCCCCTGGCTCCAGCCATGAGCCCCGGCCTCATGGAGAGCTGCTGGGCAGGTAGGAGGCATGGAAGCCGGTTCCCAGTCCCTGGCGCCCGCTGGGCTCACTGGGCAGAGGACTGGGGTGCAGGAGGATGCGCCTGGGGACTGGCAAAGGGCTGAGCTGGCATCCCCAGGGAGGCCAGGCTGGCTCCTGGCCCTCTGGTTGGGACGTGCTGGCCAGGGGGTCCCCTGCCCTGGGGGTGTGGGGAGGGCCGGGGGGCCATGGCCAGGCCGGTACCTCCTCCGGACGGTCCCACGATGGCCACCGTCTTGCAGGGGGGCAGGGTGAGGCTGAAATCCCGTAGGACCGGGTAGCCGGGGCGGGTGGGGTAGCTGTGGGGAGAGGAGCGGGAGGCTGCGGGAGCAAGGTGCCAGCCCCCCAGCCCATGGGGTGGCTCAGGGGGCCGGGGCGGCTCACCTGAAGGAGACGCGGTGGAAGCAGATGCGCCCGAGCAGGGAGTGGCTGGGGATGGAGGTCCCCCCCCGCAGCGCCACGCTGGGCTCCAACGTCAGCAACTCAAAGACGCGGGCGCCGGCGCTCAGACCTCGCACCACCTGTGGGGATGGCGGCGGGAGCAACCCCGGCCCCTGCCCCCAGCCCTGGGGGGCCAGCGGGAGCCCCCGCCCCACCTACCTGCCCAAACAGGATGGAGATGTTGGCCATGGACCTGCGGTGCACAAGGGGAAAGGCCGAAATCGGGGCTGCGCCCCGGGCAGGCTGTGGCATGCCGGGGGAGGCACCATGCCGGACCCTGCCCTTACCTTTGCATGGTCTGCGAGGCCACCAGGAAGGACATGAGGTCGCCCGGCGAAAGCTCATCCCCGGCCATCAGGGAGCCTCCCACAAAGATGGTTCCCAGGACGATACCTGTGGGGTGCAGGGTAGAGGTAGGACCCGGAGGGGGTCCTGCCCCACAGCACCACCGGGTCCTGCCCCACAGGACCCACTCACCATTGAGTGCCAGGTTGGAGAGCCCCTGGAAGGCGGCGATGCCCATCCCCAGCCGCTCGTTCAGCCAGCCGGCGCGGTCCACCTCGGCGCAGTACAGCCTGTGGGCAGGGACGGGGCTGATGCCTCCCCAGCCCCCTGCCACCCCCACCAGGGAAAAGCCCCCGCTGCCCCCTTACCCTGCCTGCTGGTCCTCCATGGCGAAGGCGCGCACCGTCCGGACATTTCCCAGCACCTCGTCTGCCACCCCAGTGGCCTTGGCCACCTGCAGGGAGAGGGATGGAGAGGGGGGCTGGTGCGGGACACCCCCTGCTCCGGCCCCGCGGGGATGGCGGGGTCCCTTGGGGGGCTGGTAGGGCTGGGGGGGGGTGTCAAGTGCAGGGTTACCTGCTCCTGCGCCTGGCGGGAGAGGCTGCGGAGAGCAGCGCCGATGAGGGTCCCGGCACCCACCAGCGTGGGCAGCGCCACGAGCAGGAGGCCAGTCAGCTTGGGCGAGAGCAGGTAGAGCGAGACGAAGCAGCCCGCCATCTGGGTGCCGCTGCGCAGGCCCTGGGTGGGGGCAGGCAGGGGTGGGTTCTGGGGGCTGGGGCAGGGCCGGGGTGGGGGGCCGGTACTGCCGGCTGCGGGCCTCACCTGGGAGATGGCCAACTTGAAGGAGGACTTGAACTCCTGGATGTCGGCCGTCAGCCGGTTCACCAGCTGCCCCGTCCGGTTGGCGTCAAAGAACGCCACGTCCTGCCTGCCAGGGCGGGAGTGGCGGTGGGCTGGGGTGGTGGGCTGGGGGTACCCCCGCGCACGCTGTCCCCTGGGGCATTTTACCGTAGCAGGGAGATGAAGAGTGCCTTGCGCATGCTGCCCGCCACCTGCTCCCCGACCCGTGCCAGCAGCGCGATGTACCCAAAGGTCAGCAGCCCCTGCAGAGGAGAGGGGCTCGGGAAGGGAGCAGGGGCAGTCCCCCGGGACCCCCCCACCTGGCTCGGGGTGCCAGCACCCACCTGCAGGCAGTAGACAGTGAGCAGGCTCAGGGCCGGGCACCGGGCCTCCTGCAAGTAGCCGGTGATGTGGCCACGGGCACAGCGAGCCACCACGTTCACCAGCTGCCCCAGCAGCACGGGGATGCGGACATTGAGCAGGGCTGCACCCAGCGCCAGCTGCAGGGACAGCGGTCGTCATGCCGGGTCGTCACGCCGGAGCACAGGGACCGCGGGCACGAGGGGGACCATGTCTGCCCACCCACCCCTGCTCACCACCACGGCTGCCGAGAGGGCCAGGAGCTGGGGGCGCAGGAAGGTCCAGAACGCCGGCCAGTCGAAGGAGGGCTCTGGCTGGGGCTGCGCGGGCTCCAGCGTGACAGGGACGGCGAGGACGGGGACGGTGGCCTCCTGGCAGCGCGCGGCCGTGCCCAGCAAGCCAAACCCCACGCAGCCCGTGGCCGGGCCGGCCAGGAGCAGGCAGCGCAGGGCCGGTGGCACGGGGCGGGGGGGGGGGGGGGGGGGGGGGGGGGGGCCCCCGCGGCCCCCCCC